GTAACTGGAAAAACCGAATGAAAAAAGAATATTAACAACAAATACTTTTTCACACCCAACCCAGTTCTGAGGAATCAAAATCAACGTTGAGTTTAAGCAAACGAATGAGCCAATTGGAGTAAAGTGCCATGCAGATTTAATTTTTTCCCACTTGTGACGAATGCAGCTATCGATTTTTTTTGCATGCTAGCATGCTAGTTAACATTCGTGTCAGTCAGCTGTTGGCTCTCACGCTGGCCAATAGAATCTTCCTGCCTATTCATGGCAGCCAGCTATAGGCTCTCACTCTGGCCAGTAGAAAATGGCCGCAAACTACATGAAAAGTGCCGTAGAAGAATGAAAAACCGATTATTACTAACTTGGAGCATGTGCATGTAAATTTTGGTTCAAACCCGTCGAAAATTGCGGCCGTGCATTCGTTACACACACACACACACACACACACACACACACACTTCCTGCCTTTTATAGATAGAGATTATTATTATGTTGTTGATTGATATTACGTTTACTTGTGTTTATCTATGCATTCGTAGATTGTTAATTTGTTTATTATTTACTTAATTTGCCTACTTATTTATTGATTTAAATTTATTTATTTTACATTTATTTATTTTATAAATAATTATATTTACATATATTTATTTTTATTTTATTTTTTTCGTTCGTTTTCAGCTTTCAAGTACCATAGTAAAAAAATTGTTTTCGTGTCTGCATTTCAATTCTGAATGTTTATTTAGTAATTTGTGTTGGTCTAGGATAATGATTATAGCTTATTTTCTCCTCCATGAAGTGGGTGTACAGTTTTTGGATTTATTGTTGTCGGCTGATACTGTTTTTCTTATCTTCCATGATATTTTTAGTGTAATTTGGTTTTTAGTTATATTACCATATATATTTAGAAATCATTGTGGGTATTTTCTCTTTCTAATGGATGTTTGGCATGCACAATTTCCCTTTTTCTCTGTTCCTTTCGTCACTCCTTTGTACATTTTTCTTCGTTATCAGCTGACTTTACAGTGACTTGGTATATTATATTGTCTTGCAAGCAATTGTCATTTAACGTACATTTGTTATTTGTGCTGCAATTACAGTTGGGTTTTGTGCGGGTGGTTTCTTAGTTATTTTTTGTTGTGATTTTATTATTATTTGTATCATGTTCTTGTATCTGATTTTTACTGTTTCTGTTGAATATATTGTGTAGTGTACTTGATGTTGGGAAGTGTTTGTGGCTGATATTAATGAATATTTTTTCTGGCTTTGTTTTTGGGTTTTCGTTATACGGTGGACTTTTACCTTGTTGAGATTTGTGCACTGTGTGGTGTGCATGTGTATGTTTCCAAAGTCCAATATCTTTTAGGACTGTTTCATACTTTTAGGGTTTCGTTGAAGATAGGTTCATTGGAGGAATTGTAAGATAACGTAAGCTAAATTAATTGTGGGATGTGATTGATTATTGTTAGTGGGTAGTTGGGAGGTGCGTGTGTGTATATAAACTGGTTTGCCGTTGTGTTTCCTATATGGTTAATAAGTACTTCCTTTTTGGATGAATGCGACATTTAAGAAATCTAGATTTTGTTTTTATGTCGACGTCGAATTCCATATTTCTGAACATTTTAATGATTATTTTTCTGACTTTGTTCTTCGCCTGTTGGTGTTTCCTAGAAGTATAAGACCGTTGAACCTGCAGAGGTCTATATCATTCCGGTCGATTATTCTACTTATTCATATAGCAAATGCACACGTATAAACTTGCAGGTTTCCGCAACGTCAAAATGTAATTCTAAAGAACAATTTCAATGAATTTTCTTCGTTTGTGTTCCTTTTTATTCTTCTTGAGCTAAGAACACAGCTTTTTTCTTTCATGGCTTCGGTTATAGAGATGTAGAATTCTGTGCACATAGTTGTATAAATTCGTAATTATTTTTGTTTTCAGCTTAGTTGTTTTTGTATTTTTCTTCTGGTTTTCACCTATCTTCGTTCTGAGTTCTAAATGAATTGATTCTAATATTATTTCACTTATTTTACCAACATTTAATTGGGTTTATGAATCTAGATGTTGGCGTTTTTTTGGAAGTTTTCTTTGTGGCCTTTTAGCGGAATTAATGCTTTTGATTTAGGATTTTGCAATTTATTCGGTTGTTTCAGTCTGATTTTGGGGCGATTTTTAAAAATATTTACACACACATACATATATATATATATATATATATATATATATATATATATATATATATATATATATATATATATATATATATATATAGGAAGGAAGAAGTGCAATTATGTGATACTTTTAACAAAAAAAAATGCTGCCTTTATCCTCTAATGACGTGATACTAAAGTTATTTTCTCGACTCTCAAGTCCAAAAAAAAAAGAAGATATATTGAAATGTAGACTAAAATTTGGCAAGCAAAATGAAAACGGACATTTTTACAGATTTTGAATTAATTACCAATTAAATAGCATCTGGACTTAATGGCAATAATGATACACACACACACAGACACACACATAGAGACACACACACACACACAGACATATGGAGAAGGTTTGCGCTCCTTCCAACGTAGCCCACTCTCTCTTTCTAACGCACGCAGATCCTAACACTGACACGCGCACGCACACACACACACACACACACACACACACACACACACACACACACACACACACATATATATATATATATATATATATATATATATATATATATATATATATTGTGAAAGAGCAAAAAAGGAAACCTTATATATTAATAAACAGGAATATGAATAAAATTCATTTTCCAGTCCTTTCACATCTATCTATCTATCTATCTATCTATCTATCTATCTATCTATCTATCTATCTATCTATCCTAGTCCCTTTTCCTTGTACTTTTCCATGTCTGTTCATATCTATCTCTCCAGCTTGCTATTGGTGTCTTCTTCATATCTATCTATCTATCTATCTATCTATCTATATATATATATATATATATATATATATATATATATATATATATATATATATATAGGTTTTACTGTGCTTGCGCAAGTCCCACGTACCTCTCTCTCTTTCATTGCCTCTCTCATGCACACACATGTGTGCTAATAGATAGAGTGTGTGTGGAATATATAAGTTTATATGAAAGAGAAACGCTAAATTGAGCATCTATCAAAGAAACAAACGAAACAGAAACAGGACAACCTTTTTCATGTTTATCGCTTTGTACATTTTTTTGTTCATCCCAATTAACCAATGGAAAAATGTGCCTTGATCATTTCGACGAGTGTCTGAGAATTAGAGGCAAATTGATATTATAGCGATAATAATTAATTCTTTCTTCACTCAACACAAGTGAGAGATCTTTACAGCTGGAGTGGCGTGGCGTTAATGCGGGGCAGTCCTCCTCCTCCTCCTTGACAGAGAAACTGAAGAGTTCTTCGCATTAAAAAAAAAAAAAAAAAAAAACAGGCGTAAAATTTTAAGTAGACAGATAAATTGGCACGAGTATTCGGATGGAAAACATGTAAGAAAACTCTTGCGATAAAGAAACACCTTCAATAAAGTGAAATCTCTTCAATAATTTATCTTTCCTTCGAAGCTATTTTTTTAGTCTGATAAAGTGATGCAGATATTTAAGAGGGAACCACGAAATGCAACCCAAATTTTCGACTGCAATTAGGACACGGGTAATTATTTCTGCAGTGACAACGATTAAAATATAGACGTTAAACGAAATTATAACCATCTTCATAAAGATAATGACAGGGAGTTAATATGGAGACATTCTTTATCTTCTTTTATTTGCAGTGTCCCTTCAGGATGTGGGTGATCATAGCTCTCCACAGCTTCCTATCTTTTTTTTTTTTTTTTTTGCTATTCCTACCACACTCAGTTCTGTCATCCATTTATCTAAGCTCGTTAGGTGGGTTACTCTGTTTCTCTCTCTCCCTCTTGCCTTAAATATGTCCTATGAGTGTCAGTTTTCCCCCAGTCTGTTTCCTCATTTGTCGTGGGAATTTCAACTGTTTCTTTTTCATTCTATGTCCTTTTTGTTTCCATTTTCCTTAAAATTCCTCAAACGATCCGTTCATGGCATTCTCAAGATCGATCTCCGGGACCCACATCTCCGGTGCCATAGACTGAGTTTTGTGATCACCGAAGTAATACCGAGATTGGTAAAAAAATACAGGGTTTCAGTCTACAACACAGCAGAAGTCAGTCGCAAAACAAACGCCAGTTTAAAGTTGCCGTCTTTTTATAGTAACAATGAAAATCGGACACGAACTTTTGCAATGATCTGATATCTTCTTGTTATTTCTGTTAATAATGTTACAAGTACGACTGATAATGCAAACAGCTGTCTTAATAATGATGATTAGATACAAATGAAAACTATATCAATAAAATTACAATCCTACCAGTTACTCTCGTTTTAATTGCTTACGACTGAAATTCCTTATTTTTACTGTTTTCATTATGTAGTATCTACGTCGAGTTTCGATATCTCTATCTATAAAAGGCAGGATGTGTGCGTGTGTGTGTAACGAATGCACGGCCGCAATTTTCGACGGATTTGAACCAAAATTTACATGCACATGCTCCAAGTTAGTTGGAAGGCCAAGATCGACGTTGCATTTCCCAACTCTCATCGATAGTTGAAATAATCGATTTTTCATGCTTCTACGGCACTTTTCATGTAGTTTGCGGACATTTTCTACTGGCCAGAGTGGGAAACAATAGCTGGCTGCCACGAATAGGCAGCAAGATTCTTTTGGTCAGCGTGAGAGCCAACAGCTGTGTGAAACGAATGTTAGCTAGCATGCTAGCCTGCAAAAAAATCGATAGCTGCATTCGTCACAAGTGGGAAAAATTTAAATCTGCTTGGCACTTTACTTCAATTAGCTCATTCGCTTGCTTACACTCAACGTTGATTCTGATTCCGCAAAATTGGGTTGGGTGTGAAAAAGTATTTGTTGTTAACATTCTTTTTTCATTCGGTTTTTCCCGTTACGAGTCCTTTTTTTTAAAGCTGATCGTTTTGTGTTCATGTTGTTTAGTTCTTTTTTCGTAACAGATTTAATGTTAAGTATAGAGCTTCGAAAGAATTCGCAGTGTGAGATAGGCAAGAAGTAAGGCATGTAGCAACATCAGCACGGCAAAGGGCACTCCTTTAAAGGCAAGGAAGGGCAAAAATATTTTAAGTCAAGTGATAGCGATTGCTGTATGAGTCGTACGACTTTGAATCAAGCACGGGCAACGCCGGGTCATGCTGCTAGTTTTGTATAAGAAATTTTAAGATAAAATTTGGGAGGTTTACCGTTTATACATGAAGACGCGAATCTTTACCAAAGACTTGTAAAATAATGGAACAACACTAGGAACAATTACTGTACGCCACTTACCGTACCTCCAAGGGGCTGTCACGAATATATTCAGCTAAATATTGTGGTTATTGAACATATTTTACATATTAACAAAGAAATTAATATAAAATAATATCATAATATCACAAATACAGTATTCTACTAATGCTACATTATAGCAACGCGTCCAATATTACGGTTAGTGTCTCAATATAGATGTAACTGTTATGACCTATTGTACTTTTTGGCGCAGATTATCGTATACTGTAGCCTAACTTCATTTACCGTTAGGCCTATGTTAAGGGAAACTGATAACCTACCGTAGGTTTCGGGGTCGGCCTATACAGTAAGTATAGACCTAATTCAGTATTGTGAGCTAAAAGTCTTGAGGGCCGACTTGGAGGCCGCAATTTACAGTATATATAATCATGAATAATTGTCAATTCCAAATCAGATTTAATTTGTTTTTCAATAGAAGTTCCACGGAGTTTGTGATTTTAAGAACTCAATTTTCGGTTTGAATTGGAATTTTCTCCCAAATCGGAGTTTCGTCCCAAATCAGTATTTTGTTTGGAATTGGACCTATAGCCCGAATCAGAGTTAAAGTGAAGTTTGATATTACATGGAATATTTTTATCTTCAAAATTATCATTAATGTTTTCTAAGCTGGACCAGAAGTAACTTTAGTTTCGGGCTGGAGGTTCATTTAGCCCTCCACAGGAGCTAGCTTAAAAACCCAACCCTGTGAAACTTTTAAGCTAATTATTAATAATATTGATTGAATAAGAACCATTATAAAGTGACGCTTGTCTACAAAGTCCAGTATACCTATCATGACCGCCTGATGGTGACAGGTTTGATAAGAATAACTCAAATCTTTAGAAAGGTGTCCCCTGAGACACTTTCCGGCTAAGAGTGTTCCCAAGTATCTAGAGATAACACTCAAGTCATCTTGACTTCCTCATCCATCAAAATTAAAAAAAAAACATCCCTCTGAACATGTGACTATGATATTCCTCCACTACTCCCGCTCATGAATATATAAGCGCAGTGCATTATTCCTTGGGTCACAAGTCCAGTTAATTAAAGTAATGCAGATGACAAGCAGATCTGCAGTAATGAATAGGATATTTAATCTTCTCCGCTGTGTCGTGTTCCATCAAGGCGTTGGCAATTACGACTCTCCACAACTTTCTGTCATCTTCATTTCTTAATATATTTTTGTGATCTCCCCTAAACCTTGCTTCACCATACATTTACTTCAATCTGTCCTTTGTAGTCTCAACTTTTTTAAGTTATCGTTACACATTATGCGTTTTAGAAATGTCAGCTGTCTCTTCCTGATGCGAAACAACTTTTCCGTTTTGTTTCAGATACATGGCAACTACTGACCACACCAGATGTCTGTATATATATATATATATATAATTTATATATATATTATTTATATATTATATATGCGCGTTACTTATTGGAAAGAGCTTAATATCAGTGATAGAGCTAATCCATCTCTCTCTCTCTCTCTCTCTCTCTCTCTCTCTCTCTATATATATATATATATATATATATATATATATATATATATATAGTGCATATATATATATATAAATAATATATATAAAATTGCATATATATATTTATTTATATAGATACACATCTTACACACACACACACACATATATATATATATTGTGTTTGATATATAGATATTTTATGTATCGACTGTGTGTTATATTTGTGCAGAATCTTTGATAAGACTCCGTTCAAACATTAATGTAGCAGACTGTCTCCACTCGGCTTCATCCTCAGTGTCCACTCTTATGTATATTTATATATATATATATATATATATATATATATATATATATATATATATATATAATGGAATTTATTTTAAAAAGAAATTGTTATTACATCTTTTATTACATTTTAAATATCTCAAATACGAAGTGTCCTCTATAATAATGTTTGAAATAATATATATACATATGTGTGTGTATGTGTGTGTGCGTGCATGTGTGTCATAAAATAACCATCATATCCAAAGAATAAATTATATAAGATTCATTTGGTTTAATGAAAAAGAACGTTTTTATAACATATCACTTTTTTTGGTTAACATTCTAAATAAAGAAAATAGTAAAAAAATAATACTGACATAGATTCTTGTTAAACACTATAAATATTTTACCAAGGTTTTTAAAATGTAATTCTATATTTTCCTTAACATCGAAATAATATTATCATAAATTATAATTTGAATTATACGTATTTATTATTTTTATACCATTACATCCTATTGTTTTCCTACATAAAATCATTATATTTGACACATATTCTCACAAATATTTTTAGACACTTTGCCATAGACAGATGTTTACTTCATTCGCAAATATTTATTTCTTATTTTATTAACTGTCCACAGTGTTTCTAAGTAGCAAATTTGTCACTGTAACGAATTTTTCTCAGTTTTTCAATTGTGCTGATGATGGTTTTATTGAACGAAATGT